AGAACCCAGACCTTTCAGAAGCGAGGTAGTGCAAGACCAAAACCTTTTGATCGATATTGTGCCATCGCACCTCGCAGAATCCGTTCAATCCATTTTTTGTGTCCTCTGGTTTGGCAGAGCGATGCATCACCTCGGCTATGAATCTTGAAGCACTCATCGACAGTTTGGCCGAGTGGTCTAAGGCGCTGGCTTAAGGCGCCAGTCCGAAAGGGCGTGGGTTCGAACCCCACAGCTGTCAGTCTATATACCTGATTGGTGTTATATTGAGAACCCAGATCTTTTCAGAAGCGAGGTAGTGCAAGATCAAAACCTTCTGATCGATATTGCGCCATCGCACCTCGCAGAAACCGTTCAACCCATTTTTGTGTCCTCTGGTTTGGCAGAGCGATGCATCACCTCGGCTATGAATCCTGAAGCACTCATCGACAGTTTGGCCGAGTGGTCCAAGGCGCTGGCTTTAGGCGTCAGTCCGAAAGGGCGTGGGTTCGAACCCCACAGCTGTCAGTCTATATACCTGACTGGTCTTATATTAAGAACCGAGACCCTTTCAGAAGCGAGGTAGTGCAAGACCAAAACCTTTTGATCGATATTGTGCCATCGCACCTCGCAGAATCCGTTCAATCCATTTTTTGTGTCCTCTGGTTTGGCAGAGCGATGCATCACCTCGGCTATGAATCTTGAAGCACTCATCGACAGTTTGGCCGAGTGGTCTAAGGCGCTGGCTTCAGGCGTCAGTCCGCAAGGGCCGCCCTTGAAGGGCGTGGGTTCGAATCCCACAGCTGTTAGAAATTTCTCTTCGTGTGATTTGATGAAGAACGCATTCCGCGGAAACGGTTCGAAACCGTTTTTGTGTCATGTCCTATAGTGTAACGCATCTTCTCCGCTATGATTTTTGAAGCACTCACCGACAGTTTGGCCGAGTGGTCTAAGGCGCTGACTTAAGGCGCCAGTCCGAAAGGGCGTGGGTTCGAACCCCACAGCTGTCAGTCTATATACCTGACTAGTGTTATATTGAGAACCCAGACCTTTTCAGAAGCGAGGTAGTGCAAGACCAAAACCTTTTGATCGATATTGTGCCATCGCACCTCGCAGATCCGTTCAATCCATTTTTTGTGTCCTCTGGTTTGGCAGAGCGATGCATCACCTCGGCTAT